GGTTGGACTGGGTGACCCACAGAGGTCCCTTCCAACCCCGACCATGCTGTGATTTTCTGATTCTGTAATTACGCAGGTAACATACCCACAGAGTTTAATCCCAGTTGCACCAGGTTATGTTTAGATGCCAAAAGGCCAATTCTCCACATTTTGGAGCCGGGCTGACGGTAGCTAGAGAGAGAGGAGGGCTCAGCAATGAACCCAGCTTTCCTGAACCAGCGCTTCATACCCCATCTACACAGGGTGACGGTCTGTAAACTGGCCGGGTACTTGGAGAACGATTCAGGCCATGAGCTACCGAAGCAGCTAAACCCTTGTGAACTTCTGAGCCGATTCCCTGTGTTGTTGGCAATCCAGGCTGAAATGCTGTGTTTGTTCAGGACATTAATCTTGTGAAAGGTTTATTGCAGGCGAAGAAGAATGGACTACGATATGAAATGGGTTCCCTCCACCAAAGCGGAATGCTATTGTGGAAGATAAATAGAGCGACTTACCTTGTGATAAACTGGATATTATTCTAATTAATCATAGGAAATGTCCTCTGCGTCTAGCATTGCACAGCTTCTAAAATGATGCGTTCTAAATACGTTGTTTTCTGCCAACTCGGCGTGGTTAGCAGAGATTACAAATTAATGAATGGCTGAAGCTCTGTCTGGCGAGGGAGAGTTCGCTCCCTCTGCGAGCTGCGTTGGCTAAACCTCAGTGCTCACCAATATTAAAGAATTAACGCAAAGCCGGTTAGACGGGGCTCTTCTGTACTCACTGTGCGTCTGAATCCTAAATGAAAAACACAACAATTGTGTTGCTTTTTGCTTTTCCCATGAATACTTTTTTCAACTGAAGGATTTCGTTTTATTTTCTTGCTCATTTGAAGTCCAGCATTCTTTGCTTCCATTCCCGTTCCATCCCCTGGGATAAATGGTGCATTAGGGGGGGGCTTTCTCTCTCTCCTGGACTCCTCAAATAGATTTTCCTACAAATGTGCAGGCAACTTGTTTTGGCCAAACAGCGAGTGAGTGCAGCAGTGCAAATGGCCTTCGTTCCAGAGATCTCAGCGAGGATGGAGGGGGTGTGCGTGCACGCGCATGGGTGGAAGAAGTCTAAAAGTCAAAAAAATCCAAAATAAAGAGCTGAACTTGCAGGGGAGGCTGGACACCCCTAAAATTATCTCAAGAAAGCTTTTCAACAGTTACACAAACCAGGCCAAATATAGTGTACAATATTTGGTAAAGGAGGATTATTGTAATTCTAATTTTAATAATTAGGCCATTTGGAATGTAATTGTAGGATCTTTTGCCCCACTTGTCCTCCAGCTCGGTGAAACAGTTGGTGTGCGCTTCAGTCTCCTCAATCTGTCTGTGATGAAGTTGACCAAGTGCTCAATTTCTAGCTTTCGTATATGTAATTATGCACAATCTTTGGAAAAAAAATAGCCCTGAGAGGGTTTTTTTCCCCCCAACATTCA